TGACTTTCTACAGTTTAAAAAAAAAACAATTTAAAAAAAAATACCAAATATATATATCTAAAAGTATTGTATAACTACACAAAAAAATTCTAAATTGTAATTCCAAACGCGCCCTTTGTTCTATCCCAACCAACTAAATTAAAAGTTATTCCACTCTCCCATGGATTACGCGGGAGGGGATTTTATTTTTATCTGTACATAAATTATGAAGATTATTTCATATATTCTTATTTATTACTATAAGATAAATTCTATGTCTAGTTTTATGAAATATCAAATATGAGATGAGATTTTTTTTATCTTTTCTAATCCAATCCAATTTAATCCCTTTCCATTAATTTTATTTCATCCAATCTCATCCCGCACTCCAAATATGCTCTAAATAATACTTAAGATTATATAAAAAATAAAAAAATAATTGTCTAAAAATCATTTTCCATTCAATGGAAGTTAAACTCCTTAATATTAAGTGTTGACTTCTATTCAATGGCTTGTATTTTAAACTACAAAACAAAGAACTAAAAAAAAAAAAAAATCGTTTTTGTAAACATCGTCGTTTTTTTCATGTAAGACAAAAAATCAATTTTCCTTATTGGCAGATTTACAAATGAAATGCAGTTAACATAGCTAAGAAAATAGAGATCCAAGGAAAAAAACATGCACATATTAGGGGGTGGCGAAAAATATATTTTTCCACCTGTTTTATACCATATGAAACTAAATCAAAATAGATTCATGTTCATTGCATATCTCTTTAGAAAGGAAATAATCCACATATGGAAGGTATATACAAATTCAGATTTGTATTCTTTTCATCGGGACACAACTCGTATGGAAGGTAGATTCATTCTAATCTCTTGATCAACAAGGGCAAAATCCTAGTGTCACCGAAGACTCCCCATAAATAAGAGGTGCACCTTGACAATGTCTCCACCAAATTTCAATTGCAATCTTCATTATCTCGTTCACACAGTAAAAGCAATCCTCTTGTTTCTCCTAACCTCCCCTTGCTGATGAATTCTGCCTATTTTCCTCTAGTCAAGTGCGACATGAAGTCCAATATCAAAACTGCTTTATGAAGCACATATTACCGTCATCAAGAGATATGACTTCAGGACAGAATTGTGTGATGGGGTACTCATCTCAGGAGGGTAATCATAGAGGTAAGCGGGACCAACAGATGGGAGCTACAGGAGCAACGTGCATCAATTCTTTTTGAGAATGGATACACATTTTTTCTTCTCTCTGTTAAAGGGTGTAACCATCTGCTCCTCTCTTTGTTTCCATTGTCTCACTGACTCAATGGAGGGCAGCCCTTCATCTTTTCCTAACATCTCCTTCCTAATGAACACAAGATTCAATCCATCTAGTTCCTCCGGTCTAGTACAACATGGAATCCAACATAACATGTTGCTTTTACAATTGCAAAACCATCGGATTAGTGACTTACCAGAATACTGTATGAAGAACATATCACCCTATTCAAGAGAAATGACTTCCAGACAGTAATTTTTTTTGATGGAGTCATCTCATGAGGATAGTCATAAAGATAAGGGGGTCCAACAGAAGGAGACTATAGAAGGGAGCAAGCAATGTGTATCTGTAGGACAAATTTCTTCCCACCAATAAGGGCGTAACCATCCTCCCTCATCTCTTACCGTTCTCTCTTTACCATTGATGTTCTCTTTTCCTGTGTTTTTAATCTGCTAAACATATATGTCCTTTTTCATATCCTCTCTCCCTCTTACTGCATTTTCTACCCCCGAATGAACATCTGTGTCCTTTATTATGGAGAGAAGGAGATTACCACGATACACCCCACTTCTTCATCATCTCCTGCTTTGCTATTTGCCTAGTTGACTTCCTTTCTCTTGGAGATATATGCTTTACTGACCTCATAATTTGTACATAGTCCATGGAGACCTCAGATATGACATTCTCTACCAAACCATTGTAATCTTGTGCTTTGTTGATGAATAATAAATGAAGAGATCTTGCAATTCCGTTATTTATTTATTTTTATTGAATGTGTATCAGCGAAATATACATGCAAAGGACATAAAACAATACAAATCAAATCTGTATTCCAAAAAAAAAAAAACCGCTAAGCAATCAGCAGGGAACATTAAAAGAAAGGAAGAGGAGCCATACCATTTTTTTTTTCAGGTTACCCTCTAAACCAGCAAAGTGGGACATACCGCAACTTCAGCTTGACATATCTCCAATGGTGCCACCTCTGATTTCTAGCATTAGCATCAATTGGCTCTCCCCAGATGATCCATTCATGCTTTGCTTAAACGTTGCCAAAAGAAAAAAAAAAGGGTTAAATGCTAATTTTGGTCCCTCAACTTTATAACATTGTATTTTTTGGTCCCTTAACTATTTTTGGAGTTGACTGTTGAGGGATAAAAAAAGTACAAAAAATAATTAAGAGACCAAAAAAGTGTAACTCCATAACGTTTGGGGATCAAAATTAACATTTAAAAAAAAAAAAAAAAAGACTGCTTAATCAAACAGCTGAAGCAAATTATTTAAGCTCCAAATGTATATGACCAACAAACCCAGGAAATTAACAGTTCCAACACAGTGATATTGATTCCGGAAGGGAAGAAGCAAAAATTTCAAAAACATGTTGCAATTGGTAACTGCAAATACTGCATTCTGCGATCGAGATAGAATCACCTCTAAACGAATAATGAAAGAAAGAATGCCACTATGTTTCCGTTTTTCTTTTCTCCCATACCCTCCCAGACCGACACCTCTAAACAAAAAAATGCCCA